AGCATTGCCGTGGCTGAGGGGGAGGCCGTCTGTCGCACTTAATCTGCCTCGGGTCATATTACTGCAGGGGCATGCCAAAGACATCAGGTGAGAAGGTTACTTACAATAAACTCAGGCGGCTGAAGACCAGAGCTTGCATTTGTCGGCGTCGTTATGGGAGAAAAATGTGACCTCGGGCCAAGATGCCACATGGGAAGAGTCAAATCACATCGAAAGCTCTGGGAACAGTGCTCGCCGTTCTCCGTGGCAATGCCAACCAACGCAGCATGTGGCAATGATGGCTGCTGATTGCGATCTGCACTCTCGCTGCACCTTGCGGCAGGTCTCGGGTAGCTGAAGGAGGTAACGGCGACAAATGGCGCAGAAAACTTTCTTTGCAACTCGGCGGCTGCTCTTCCAAGTCATCCTCCGATGAGCCCGTCCGGGTGGAAGCAGAGCCCAAGCTCTTGCGCTTCAGCTCAACCTTGCGCAGGCGACATTCAGGGAGCTGACGACTGATCGACTCAAGGACACTTAAACGAAGTGCCATGGGGAGTGCTAGCGACTAGCCGTTAGAAGTTGTCTACCTCACGGCGACCNNGAGAGAACCTGGTGAGACCCAAAATCTGCGCGTACCGGTACCGGACAGCTCGCACCACCCGGCGGACGTGAGACAAGCGTCTGCCCGGCTTCTGCTGGAGCCATCAGAGGATTCAAACCGCATCGTGAGTCAAGGCTAGGGCATCTGACTAGGAGCCATGGGAAGAGTCAAATCACATCGTAAGCTCTGAGAACAGTGCTCACCATTCTCTGCGGCAATGTACACCAAGGCATCATACGGAAATGCTGACGGCTCTGGATGCGCATTGCGGTCTGAAATTGCGCGGCACCTTACTCTGTTCGCCGGCAGAGCAGTGGAACATAGCAGAAGTCCAAGCTAGCAGATAACTGAAGCAAACTGCCTGGACGAGGCATCGCCTGCCACATCCAACTGCTCAGAGAGCTCCAGCGCCAGCTGCTCCACAAAAAGGAGCTGGGCACACTGCGGGAATTGCCTCGGACGCAAGCTGAAACATCACCGCACATGGTCTTGCATGTCTTGCAAAGCATCCCGTGCGCCAGGGCACGCCCAGGTCTCCAGCTGCTTCAGGACGCTGGAGCGATGGCACGTCCCCGGCGACGTCTTGCACATCTTGTGGAAAGGGATGCTTTACTAGGACTGCAGGCGAATGAACATGGGGGTAACATGGCATTGTCGTGCATATAATATGCGAATGCGCAGACTTTTGTTGACCAGTGAGAGCTGTGTGTGCTGCACAAGCCAGCTGCGGCAGTCAACATGCTACGGCATCTCTACGCAACCACAGGGCGGCAGTGAGGAGGGCACAACAAAGGGAATAGCTCAGATGCCGGCTTGGCAGCGAGGCCGATAGTTCCTAGAAGGCCAAATCGCAAATCGCAAAACAGGACTCGCAGCCTCCAAATCGCCTTCCAATTGCTTGTGGACATGTGCCTAAATCGCAAATCGCACGATTAGGGTTCTGAGCTGCGAACAGAAGATCCACGAACAGAAGATCCAAATCGCTGGCTAAGTTGCCTATGCGTTGCTTATATGTGGGCGTTGTGGGATGCGAGCCTCTGGAAAGAGCCTTGCTGCTACTTGCCCAAGCCTGCTCAAGAAAAAACTCTTGCAGCCCGTGTCCTCTCTGCAGCTTACAAAACCATATTCCAAATCGCTAACGATTTAGGCTCCGTGATTTTAGATCTGAATCGCGTACGATTTAGAATCGCTAGCAATTTACCATCTAAGCGGTAGTTGTTCAGCTGCCCCCGCTAGAGCCAGAACGTTGCAGAAGGTTTCATTGAGCGTTTGGCTCTATGAGGCTGAACTCATTCAGCTCACCGCGAATACCTGTTAGCATGCTGTGAGAAAGCCTTCAGTTGCTGCTCTGCTTCCGCACACAGGAGCTTCCGGTCAGAAAACAGGGTCGCTTGGAATTGATCCTGAAATGACTCCTCACTTTGGAGGGCTCTGACCAGCAGGGACACCCACTTCTGACGCTGAGGCCTCGTCAGCGCGCGCAGAACGCTGGTAAGATGCTCCGCACACTGCATTGCATGCTTCAAGACAAACTGCTGCAAACGTGACAAGAGCTGTTTAAGTCTTCGAGGTCGCAGCCCAGTGATCTGCAGCTTGACCGGCCACCTCAACTTGGAACATGCCTTGACAACAAAACCTGTACGTTCAGCCCTTAAGGACTCCGGCCCACCCCAAATACCGAGCTTCCATGATGCAATACCGATCCGACAAGACCATCTGCCGCCCACACTAAATCTGATGGAGTCTGCCCATGGAGCAAAATTTGAGAACCGAGTGCCCACACACCCCATGCTCAACAGCCCACAAGGGCACGGCATAAGCAAGTTCCTCGCTGAACTACACCTGAAGCTGGCAAGGGGCTGTCATTTGCGGAACGAAGAAAATCATCTTTCCACGGACCACCTAGGTGCGAAAGCAGCTTCGTAGGCATGTCCACCGTGTTTCCACCCTCAACATGGCATGCCAGACGTCCCAAGCTTGAAACTCGGATGGAAGGCCGAGAGCAGCTCCCATGTGTGAAAGATTGTGGAAAGTCTTGCATAGTCTTTGCATTTTGGCACCACTGTCCATCAAGCTCACACTGCCGGCCGTGCCTGCGTCTGTCTATATAGTCGGGAAGACTTCTAAGATGGTCCTGGCCAGGAAGCAGGCGGGTAGTGCATGCATCGCTTGGGCTTGGCAGTGCTGCGATTTTGCCTACGCCTAGTCGAAGACTGGCCTTTAAAAGCACTCGGTGTAGCCAGGCTCTGCACAGTGCGGCTCTCCATCCATGCAGCCCTGCCGTCGCAGGTACTGGCGAAGGGGCTTCAGCAGTCACGACCACGGGACCACCCGAAGCAAAAAGATTCTCATCGGGAATTGGTGGACATCCTCCGATGCGTCGCACTTTGAGACTGCCATGATGTGCTGCACGGGTTGCCAACAAGTGCAAGGATTCCCTCAGTAATCCGAAGAAAAGATGCAGGCGCTCATCGCCTCAGCA